CATTCTGATCTTCTGGGCATCCACCAGAAGAGCAGAACTTCAGACTGAAGAGATGTCTGTCATGATCAGGGGTGGCGGCCCTTCAGTGTTACTCATCCTCTTAGATATTGTTCTCTGACGGTGCTATTGTTATTCTCTTCAAGGACCCAAAGGCTGATGCCTGGATTCCCCATCTTTTATGTCCTGCTGTGATGCTGAAAGCTGGTGTTAGAGGTACACACAGTCTCCTCCATGGCCTTTTGGGAGAAATCTTGCACCTCTTCTGTTACCTGTTCTGTGAGCATCAGCCAAGATTATCCTCTTCTTATTCAGATGATGCCATAAGAAACAGCACTGGTTTCTAACACCCTTTCTAGTTCTTCCAAATTCTAGGTGAAAACAGATTATTTTGAAAGCGAGAGGCACTTAAAAAGACAGACTTCCAAAGTAGATTTGCAGAAACACAGAAACACAACACATGACTGTTCAATATATACTTCGGCATGCTTAGTTCTTTCTTGAAAAAAAAGTAACTCAGTTTACTAGGGTATTCTTCTTTGACCGATCATAATGTCTTTCTGTCTATTGAAAATAAGGGAGCATTTGACTCTTTCTGGGGGGAAATAGGAATTCACTTTACTACTTTTCTGGTCATACTGACCTCTCCAAGCAGAATGACAGATGAAAAACAAGCATTTTTAAGAATGAATATTTAAAATTTTGTTAGCAAGAACAAAATGTACCTTTATTAACACACCAATTTTTAGCTTATTAGACACAACTTGTACTTTACTGCCTGTTACTCAGCAGAGTTATCACTTAATAAAACTTAATAAGCACCAGAACTGCAGAAAGCATTACATCACAGCTTCATTAAAATGTAGCCCTAAGATATGGGGGTTGATTTCCTAGTCAATCACTAAAGCATTTTTCAAGGTCAGTGGAATATTACAAGAGGATTATCAACAGAGATTTTTTTTGGTACTTTACAGACAGATGTATCTTATTTCGCATGAGTTTTTGTAGAGTATAGGCCACCTCTTTAGGTTCCTTTTCCCATCTTTGCACCAACATTTGTCCTGTATGTGATCAAATTTGCAAGACAGTAGTAGTTTATAATGACTTTTAGGGAGCAGGGATTGTTTTTGGGTTGGGATTGTCCTTACAGTTTGATTGTAATGAAGAGTCTTGCAGCATCTTTTAAAATAACAGATTTGTAGCATGTTTTTTCCAGATTACAGTCTCCTTCCTTCGATGACATACCTGGGATGATACAAGACTCTCTGCTGTTATGCCAGAATAGACTAATATGAGCAGTCCTTTAAAATTTACTTTTTTGATGAGATACTTATAAGGTTGCTTATTTAAGAATTGATATATACATGGTAAAATATTACTCTGTTGCTCCAGAGGGCAGGTTGATTCTCATACACCACTTGAAAATCTGGCCACAATTTTCCAGGAGTTATAGGATACACATCAAAGCACTATTGTAGGAAAAAAATGGTTTGGGGACAGGCATCTTCCCCCAAAGATCACGCCTAGGAATGACTGGCCACAATTTTCCAGGAGTTATAGGATAATGCAGCATCACATCAAAGCACTATTGTAGGAAAAAATGGTTTTGGGACAGGCATCTTCCCCCAAAGAACATGCCTAGGAATGATACAAGTGCTGAAATCCTGTTGCTGAGTTTACTAAGATGCACTAGAGTAGGCCCAGGAATGAACCCTTCTGTAGGTTCCATTGATTCAAATGGGCCTACCTTACTTGTGCAAATCGGAACTTCATCATTAGAACTTAGAATCACCACTCATTCAACACATTAGAACTTAGAATCACCACTCATTCAATGGTTCTACTCTAGGGCAATTTACTATGCTAAACAACAGGACTACAGCCATGTCACTGCATAGTATCATTTGCCAGGGGATACTGGCTAAATTTTCAGAGCAATGGCAACCAGGCTGTCAAGAACAGAGAAGATGCTGCTTGAAGCAACTGCCTAGACTCTTTTAAATTTTAAACAGCAAGGCTAAGTTAGAATAAGTTTTAAAAATGCTCCTTTCACATTGTTGAAAACTATACCACTCCTTGAAATTCGAATGACTTCATTGTTTTCCCAGAAAATTAATGCAGCCTTCAAGGAGATGTTTTGTTCTTCCCAAGAGCTGAGGGGAATACTTTTAGCTCAGTCCTAGTTTTAAAGTTCATCACTTGAAGGGAACATGGCATTACTAAATGTTGTCTTTCCACATTAGGATTAGGCATCCATCAGTCTCGAGAGACTATGGTAACATGTTCTGTATGGAGGACTTGGAACAATGAACGTCTTGTGTGGCTGAGAAGGCCAATTCGAGAGTGGCAGTCGCTTCCACATTGAAGACAATCGGTCCCCTTCCAGCTCCCTGATTTTGCTGCTTTCAGGACTGCCTCTTTGCCTCGGCCTGCTGGATAAGGGACTCTTCAAATCATTCCCAGGTGCTTTGCCAGAGGCTATGGAATCTTACAAGACAGGCAGGCACTCAATGTTATTTAATGCCTCTTCGGTTACTACATTCTCTCTGGAATATAGCTCAGAGTAGTGCTGCACCCAG